GTGTGTGTGTGTGTGTGTGTGTGTGTGTGTGTGTGTGTGTGTGTGTGGACTATCAATCAATAATGCAGAGGGGGAAGGCGATCTCCACAGAGCGTAATACTGCTGTAATGGAACAATCCAGGTCAGGTTTCCTGTCGGCTGCTCACACAGACCAGAGGACATGTCTCATACATTATATAATATATATTTAATATGTTTAAATATACACAGTGTAGTATACAGCTATAAAAACAGAAAACACACCAGCAAATACATCTTATTTGTATTAACCACCCAAAATGCCAAAGACAGGTTTTAAATCATAACACTGGTAGGACAGGACAAACACAGACACACATATACATACACACCTCAGGACTCTAGCACATACAGGGGACAGATATCAGAATAGCACCCAGCTGTTGAATTATTCCCTGAAATCAGTGACATGAAAAATGAAAGGGAAAAAAATGTGGGGGATTCGCCGCATGTCAACATTTGATTGTCTTTTTCTTAGCCCATGTCCCATCCATCAACAACAAACGAACAAACAGAGGTGAAAACATAACTTCCTCGGTGGAAGGCATAATATTTCATATAAAAACATTTAAAAAGAACCATCCAAACAACAATACTGAGGAAGATTGAGGATGAAATTAAAATAATTTCCGCATAGGTCCCATAAAACAACGGTGAAGCTCTTGATTGGCTGTTTGTAGAATTACACCAAGGAAGGAGCTGAGTTAATTAGCTCTGCTGCTCTCTTGATTAAAGCTGATGCAGGAGATTGTTGTGCTTTAAACAGACAGACACAGCACCGAGGTTTAGCTGATGGTTTTATTAAAATTATATTGCTCTCCTGATACCTGCTTTAGTAAAACCTTCCCTTTGCCAAAGCAAGAGGCTTATTCTGTCGCCACTTATTTCACATCCCACAAGTGTGTGGTTTTATTTTATTGTTCGTAAACAGGCACACTTTGGAAATACTGACTATCATGGAACAGTTGCAGTGTTGAACTGTAACTCAAGGGTTTTATTTTCTGGAATGGAAAGTCTCAGACGTGTTGTTATTGTCAGACTGTGTGTACGACTAACATGAGCCAGCATTTCACACCTTGTTGAGTCAGCTGTCTTGTCTTACTGGATAAATAATTTAGACTTTATATCAAGAAATGGGTCGATTGATAAAGGCTAGGCCTGGACTACCTGTGTGTAGTATTCACACACAGATCCATATGGATCTGGTGTTTAAGTGCCTGGTGTGCGTGTGCGTGCGTGTGTGTGTGTGTGTGTGTGTGTGTGTGTGTGTGTTTCCCCCACAACTCAATGGACGTATTGGCTTCCTCAGCACAGTGCAGAGCTCCGTGAGCAGGTTGCTGATTGACTGATGGCTTTATTGACGATACTTTGAAAAACTCAGTGTGCTGAACTGATGCCAGAAACGTCTTTTAAAGACAAATGCATCCGATGCGATTTTCTCCTGATGTTTTATCCATCCATGACCTCTAATGGCTTCTAGTTCTGTCATCTTGCCATTTGTTTTGATCAATCAAAGGGATATTGACTGTTATACAGACAGTAATATTATATCACTGCAGTTTCCCTCAGCGGGTTCAGTGTTTAATACATTTTTCTTTCAACAGTCAGAAAAAAAGAGTCCCAGTTTACTTTACTGAAGCAGAAAGGCAACGATCTGGTGAAGAAAGGCAACTTTCAGGAGGCTCTGGAGAAGTACAGTGAATGTCTCGCCTTAAAACCAGACGAATGTGCTCTCTACACAAACAGGTAGGAAGGAAACAACCCTGGTGTTGAAGCCTTTTCAACTTTATCACTCATTTTATAATTGGTTGATCCCTGGACACAAGTCTATCAAAAATTAAATGTGAATTGTGTTTTGAGAAGTGGATGTAGTTTTAATTATAGACTCCTGCAAATAAGAAAGACGTCTGTTACTTTGCAGATTGAGGCATTAATAATAGAGAACATATAAATAAAACAAGGATGTATTGGTGTGTGACAGGTAGAGCATTACAGGATACCAGTTAACGTCTTAAATCTGGCTTATACCAGGCCCAAAAATATTATTATACAATGTAATAATATTCAGATATTTAAGTACATTTTGTGTGAGTGTGAAAAGTCTCATTTTAATAGCATAGATTTCTGACTAAGACTTTTAAATTGTAGTGTGGGATAGCTCATATATAGCTTGGTCCTACATATCATTAACTGCAGCAAAATCCTGACACTTTGCACTGTTTGATTCCAGAGCCATTTGCTTCCTGAAACTGAATCATTTTCAAGAGGCCAAACAGGACTGTGACTCTGCTCTGCAGCTGGAGCCAGGAAACAAGAAAGCCTTCTACAGACGAGCACTGGCTCATAAAGGTTTACAGGTGCCTGTCACTCCTCTTTTTCTTTTGAAGATTTTGGATAAGAAGCGTTTGCACATCTAAGTATATCTTAATTTATTTTCTCTGTGTGTCACAAACCCAGGACTATCTGTCAGCCAGCACCGACCTCCAGGAAGTCCTCCAGATGGATCCAAATGTCCGGGAGGCTGAGCAGGAGCTTGAAGCGGTGACAAGTTTACTGAGACAGAGTCTGATGGACAGCAATGCAAACACACCAAGGGTGAGAGAGCCATTAACACACACACACACACACACACACACACACACACACACACACACACACACACACACACACACTTCTAGAGCTGTGATTTGCATTTCTTTACTGCTGGCTGGATTTAATGTTGGTAGCTCTGACATTTATCTCACCACAACCCACACTAGACAAGGTCATATTTAAAGTGTGTTACACATGATCTCACGACGAGCAACCAACTAGAAGGTGTTCGGAGAGTCTATGCCTGCAGCATGGCTGCAGCATGGCTAAGGCCTCATCTCCCCATGTTATAGAAAATGAAATAAAATATCTGCAGCCACTCAAGAATTTAACGGGTTCTTCCTTTGGTCATGCCACATGCCTCGACATACTTTAATGGAAATTTGTTCAGTTATTTTTGAGTAATCCTGCTGATAGTCAGACAATCAAACAAACGGCAATGAAAACATAACCTCCTTGGTGAAGGTAACAAAACCTCCAGGAAGGCTAACTTCTGCTGATGTCCTCTATAGGTTTGACCTTTGTGGATCAATGCAGAGGAAAAGGAATGAAGGTGTGGACGCTCACTGCACTGTAGCAGCTCTGGAAGAAAAACTCTTTTAAAGCCATCAACCCGAGTGAGTAAGACGTGTGAAAAACAGAAACGACGGGCTCCTTGGAACAACCACTGAGCTCTGCACCATCTGCAACGTGTGTTCAAACCACACCATAACTCCTGAGCGCACAACCTTACGCAATGAGGGCAGCTTCGTTAAAAAAAAAAAAAGGCTAATGTCATAATACTTGACCTGCTTGCACTATAAAACCATTCTCATTATGATGTAATATACTGTACATACTGATTCATGTACCAGGCTGCAGAGCACTGTTATTTGTTTAAGTCAAATGAGGAAAGAGAGAGAGTGTGTACTAACGAGTGCCTTATTGAGATTTCTACCGGTTGGGATGAAATACGCCAAGAAAGTTTTGCTCTGAATTGTTTTTAAAGACGTTGTGTTTGGTTTCAAAATGATTCACTGAGATCATGACAAAATATAGGATTTTTATCGTCAGGATACTGAAGGCCCAGAAAGATGGGAAAAGGTCAGCAGGTCATTATCTGGTACATTCTCTTTGTAACCAGGGTTCAAACTCTTCCAGCTACGATTTAAGACATGTCACCGTTTACGATTATTATGACATCTGCTGCTAATTTAAGAAGACAAGCCAACAACTCACCACAAACCACTGACTTAACTGGAATTATAAGATGGTAAAATAGTCATTGACGTTAGAATATCCAATCAATTAGGAGCTCGGTGCATACGCTCGGTGATAAGTCAATCAAGAGGTTGTCGCTTTACTGGTTTTAGATAAATGTGCACTCGTGTACTGTAAGACTTACCGTAGGTCTCAGGTTCAGTTGTGAATGTTGACTAATCTCCTGCTTCATCTTCAACCTCCCAGCTCCAACAAGGACAGAAGCAACATGTTTCGGTTGTATTCATTCACAATCCTATAAGAACATCACAGGAAAATAACTGTACAGTGATAATATACGTCTCTACAGAACCAAACTATTGATTCCACTCCAAGCAAAAGTGTTAAACTCCTGAAGCTGAAGTGGCTGAAGTCAGGGATTCTGCCTTAAAGTTTATTGAGCGTTAAGTTCCTTGGAGGCTAATTTCAGTCTGAATTAACTGAACTTCATTCCTTCATTAATTGGCTGAATGTCCTCATTTTCGATCAATATTGTCTCAAGTAGCTTTTTTTCTTCCCTCACCCTCAGTCTGGCTTTGCTCTTTCAGTTTGAGTTAAAAAATGTCCCCTTAATTTATTGGCTTAAAAACACTAATTAAAACCAAACTTACTGGAAAAATGAAAACTTGAACACACATCAGCTTGGAACTACCTTAAACAACCGAACACATCTTTAAGAAAATGTATTTGTTGTGTACTTTGACTTTTTAAGTTTGGTCCATGTTCCATCGACTAACATGGAGGAGGTGGGGTAATTAAGATAATTTGGGAGTTTTGGGAGGCTGTCATGTCGTCCATCTCTATGTACATTCTATGATCCGACTGCATTTTAAAGGCCCCCACACAGACACGCTTCTCCTCCTGTTAACGCTCACTGTACCTGATCCACTCTGGAGTTAACAAAGCTCCGCCCAGTGTCGCAGCTGATTAACTACAATTGAAATCTCCTGTGTGAGGGAGCAGGTTTTCAAGTGTGAATGTTTTTAAAGCACAACGTGCCACAGCTTTTATTTCACGTCTGCTTTCTATGTTGACGTTTTCATGTCCAGCCTAAACTTTCTGGCTTTATCTCATTTTCTTGTTTTTGTTGTCCAAATAAAAGCATAAAAATCTAATAGAAATGAAAACACTTGACGTGAGGCTCCAGCGTTCCAGACATTGTTTGTCTTGCTTCTTGGAATGTAAAAGCATGTACTGTATGTAAATAGTTGGAATGCAGATGTAAATAATAAAGTGCAATGTGTACGCTTTAATGTGCCTTTCTTATTTAAAGTTCACTCAATTCTGATTTCACTAAATGTTCAGCTAAAAGGAAATGAGTCAAAATAAATACAGTTACGTTTATGATTTTCTCTCCTCTGATAAGATTCTTTCCTTAAACCACAATTGCTCAATCTAAACTTCTTAGATCAACAGTAATTCTGCACAGCCGAGTGAAGAGTGAATGTCTAATCCTTTGTCCAAATGAACAAACAGACAACAAAGCTTGATTGAGGATTTTATTGTTTAAGAATATGCATTAACATGCACATTACAAAGCAAATAATTAGGAAATATATACTTTTCGAAATAGCATACGCTGATTTTGACCAAGTTGAAAAATAGACCTGGCACTCGTCTTCAAATAATAATATAAAACTCACAGGAATCAAACATTGGTTTTCATAAACATAAATAAAGTGGGAATATCCTGCAGCTGGGGCGGAGATAATCAGCTCTTTACTGCAGCGGCTGAACACAAGCTGTAGTTTAGTAAACCTCACGCTGCTGATTGCTTTGGTTAAAAAGGTTTTATTGCCTCTATCAACTCTGAGACTTTGGCTACTTTAGAGAAATGTTCTCCAAATTATTGTTCCGAAAAATTAACAACACATTTTGGTGGTAAAATTTACAGTGATGCCCCAAACTAGATTTTACTCCAATGCTGTATCATCAGGTCAACTTGTGTCTTTTCTTTTTGACTCATGGACTTAACTCATCATGTATTAAAGTGGATTTAATGGAAAACGTTCAGATACCACCACTGCAGTGGTCTGAGCACAGTCTCTGGTATTTAGCACCAGGTTTTATGCCCTTTCAAACATTTTCCAATTTTTCATACTCTTTATGATTTTTATGTTTATCATTTGAAGACACACAGAACGAGGAATTTAGATGAAAATAAAAACACTATACAAAGGATTTTTTCACCCCCTTGAAAGGCACTGTAGGTCCAACAAATATCAAATACAAAATTATTTGCATCAATCATTAAGAAAAGACCATGAGGTCTGATTTAGAAAATAATATTTTGATTCAGATGTTAATAAGGGAGAATCAAAGTTGTAACATTATTACTGTACATTCATTAGTGAAGATTAAACCACTGACAGATGGATGTGCTCTCATACTAAAGAAGAGTTTCTCATGGCACAAGAAACCTTTTTTGGAAATAAGTGTAGATGTGTTTCTTTGATCAGCCACATCTTGAAAGCTTCATTTTATTATTGCAAATACATATTGTTTGGACAGTGTTCCAGTTTAAGTGATGTTTAAGAAATGCTACACCTACATAAAGTTTGTTTTTTGCATTTCTCAGGAATAATGTAAATTGACTTTTTTTTTTGAATACACCTCTCGAATGAAAGTGGCAGTGAAAAATAAATGTAGTGAAAAATTGGTTACATTTGCACAGATGCAACCACAAATATTTTTTACCACTTCAGACAGTCTAAAAAATAACTACAAATAAAAATTAAGGGCTACGGTTTGAGTCTTTCAACTTAATACCTGCCCGATTTTACTAAAGTTTTACTGGACCCAACACAGGGCTTCAACATTAAAAACCAACTTTCCCAAAATGGAAAATAAAGCAAACACACAGAGCTAAAACACACAGGTCACATTTTAAAACAAAAGCAATAATAATAATCAGTTCTTTATAGATGATTATGGAAAAATAAAATATGCTACTGTACGGACTGGTCCCGCTCAGGTTCAGGTTTAGACGCTCGAATTGATGGAGGATCGAACAATTCTTTAACCTGTGGTGTTTCGCACCATTAAGAAGTCACAGAATGAAGCGGTGGCACAGCGGTGGACCACAGTGATGGCGTCTCCCTCCCTGATTCAAGCAAAAATCATGGAGGGAATCCTGGTTTTTTTGCAGGCGTGAAGAAGGAGAAAAGGTGATGCTTTTTTTATAATAGCAGCTCAGTTTACTAGGAATATCAGATATTTACTGAAGCTCTCCAGATAGAAACTGGAGGCTGGATTCAGAAAATAATCCAAGGACTAGCTTGGTAGATTAACAGCCTCCTGTAGTATCTCACCACCTTGATAACCTGCTTTACACCTGTCCACTTACATTCAGTGCTACCTCCTATAGAACCTGCTGCTCCAGCTTCACACACCGTGCCTCTCAACGGCACAAAACAACCTGCTTTGACTTTACTGTGCTCCTGTTCACTTTGTTATTCACAAATCTCTCTCTACCTCAAACGTCTCTGTAACTGTACAGTCTCACATTCACGTAATATTTCTGCCTCCGCAGCAGATAAAAATATTGTATAATAATATCGACCACCAGCTTCCGTAGAAGAATCGGCTGCTTCGGTTTAAGAGTGAAATTAGGTGATAAGGCTAACTGAGCGAGCAGTGGTGACGATGCTTCAGATGTCTGTTTGTATACAGTGCTTCCTCGTCGGGCTCACTGGCTCTGCTGCAGTGTTATTTCTGCTCTCTTTCACGCTCTCTTCCACCTCAGGGTCCATGGCGGCACCAACGCTCTCCTCGCTGATGTACAGAAACGTCCCGCTGCCTCCCTCTTTTGGAGAAGCGGGTGGAGAGGCAGACAGCAGACGGTGCGTGAAGGCCACGTGGCTGCTCTGAGATGGATAGTGCTCCAGGCGGTCGTTCTCCACCTCAGGCATGGGCGTGAGGGTGACGTCGATGAAGGCGGCAGTGGCGCCGTGATGAGAGTGGGGGTCCATGGGGGCGGAGCAGGGGGGATGAGCTGGTCTTGAGGTTTCTGGGTCTGAGCAGCTGAGCTCTGACGAGAAGTGGCTACAGTGCGAGTCGGCCACCGAGGGCAGGCTGCCGCTCAGGGACGGCGAATCAAACTCAGAGGAGTTGGTGCTGCGCTGCTCCAGGAGCTGAGCATCCATATCTCCTTGTGTTTCATTCATTTTTCGTTCTCCTTTGCTGCCGCTAGCTTTTTTCCAGAGCTTTCCTTTGCTCTTCTTGCCCCCCAGCGTGGAGGGTTCCTTCGACCAGGGAGGTGAGGGGCAGCAGGGGTTGTCTTGCTGAGCGCAGCAGCAGGTGGAGGGACATGAGCACGAGCCACCGCTAGCTCCTTTGAGACCAGTGGTACTACTGCTACAGCTAGCTTCATCCAGGCTACTGCTGGCGCTGGAGTGTCTCACCTTCTCCTGTTTGGACTCCACGTCTGCCTGGACTTCCAGACTATTATCTCTGCAAAAGAAAACCAATCACATTTAACCAACAGTATTTAAATACATAAAAAAAAGGTTAGACAAGGATTTTTTAACACTGTAGCTGTTGTGCCGGCAGCACTGTTCTGACCAACCTTTCCAGAGGCATGTAGGCACTGAGGATGGATCCTGCCATGGCTTTTGTGCTCGCATTGTCACTGATTGTCCCGAGACTGACAGTGGCCGACTCTCCGCTCAGACTGCAGCGCTCCTTCTGGACATCAGCCTGCACCTCCATCCTGGGGAGAGAACAAAATGATTAATACTTTTTACATATGTATACACTCTCAAAGACAACATGAACAGTGAAATATGCTTTTTCACTCTTTCCAACATTTAAATTATGTATTATTTTATTTGTCTATGACTTAACATGATAATGTAATATTTTGCTTGTTGTCTTTACTGTTTTGGTTTCTTGTATTTATTTGACCCACTTCGTAAAGGCTAGTTTTTAAAGATGAAATTATTAGTCATATAATAACATTTGTCCGGATCAAAATCAAGCGCATGTTTATAATTCAATCAATTTTCGTGGCTGTAATTTAAACCATAAAAAAGTAGAACCAGGCAGAGACATAGAGGTTCAGTCTATCACCTGTTGTAGCAGCTGCCAGACAGGCTGCCAGTGATGCTGGTCCCGGCGAGCGCTGTGGTGCTGGCATTGTCACTCATGTTGTCACGCTGAGCGGAGCTCATGCCACAGCGCTCCATGTGGCTCCCGCTGACACTGAGGCTCAGGCCCGTCAGACCGCCGACGCTCGCACCATCGCCAAGGCTGGGGTTGTTGAGCCGCGTCTCTGCCACAGAGGTCGTGTCTGTGGAGGAAAGGACAGAAAAGGGATTTTGTAATTTCATTTAATTCACAGATTGGTGTATCTGATAAAAATAACTTCACCTCTCTATGAAGCCACAGACCCTGATCAAAGCGTGACACATGAAATCTTTTTCATGAAAGTTTATTCTTTTAACTTTCACCAATGACTTTTCACAGGCTTTACAGAGAGCCCAGGAACAACAGATTGATAAATTCTAAGGTGTGATTAAGTGCCACCGTGTCTCACACCTTGTTGCTGAAAACAGTCAGATTCTCTGCTTTCACGTGGATTTTTAATTATCATTCAGAAAAGCTGTGAGAAACCTGGTCTCTTTTCTAAAGCACCTACGAAGTAAGCAACGGGGGCTCGACCTCACACAGCCGCCAGGTTGATGGTGACAAACACACGCTTGACAGGAGAAACCACTGACACCACTCGTTTCACACCATCACACGACTCCCAACACTTATCTGCTTATCATCATTGCTGGCATTTTGTGGGCTATGAATAATCTGCATAAGCACACAAAGGGCGTTGGCGGACGCAAGTGTATTTCTTCATGCCACTGCAAACACATACCAAAACTCCTGGTTGCTAAAAACTCTTGGTGTTTTCCAGATACAAGTTTTATTTCAGACCTAAAGAAAAAGGTCACACGTCTACAGGAAATGTATGTTTATGAATGAAAGAGAACAACTATGTATAGAAGCAGATAAGTATTTGCAGTTCTCTTTTCACCCAACATGTTTTCATTGCGTATATTTGTCAGACTCAGTAAACTTACCTGTGGCTGCAGCTCCACTGCCTATGTTGTCATTTTCGTCATCAAACTCGATTCGCACCCCTTTGCCGTTGCCAGCTGACACGCCACAGCCGCCGCTCCGACACAGTGAGATGGGGACGACTCCATAGACATAAGCCAGCATGATGGGAACACCGATGCCTACACAGCACAGGGTAAACACTCACTTTAAAAGTTTCCTTGTGGGTCAGTTGTAAAACTCCAAGTACAGTTTACAACATATTTCTTAACAAACAGTAAAAAATGTCGGAAGACATTAGTAGTAGTTGAGTTGAGAAACAGATGGTGCGGTGGAGAAACACAAGCGGGAAAAGATAGAGAGAACAAAAACACTTCTTTCTTACCAACAGTGACGGCAGCAACCACAGGCGACACGATCACAGACAGCGTCACACCACCTGCTATCACTAAGTTCCTCTTGTGTTTGGAAATGTCTTTGCCCTCATAGCGGTTATGGATCTGAGGGGAGGACATGTGTTTATTGCCTTAAAGGGTCAAATCACAAAATAGGCAGGTATGACTTTGAAACAACAAAAGATCATAGTGTTCATGTCTTTAAAAAACTATTTGTTTCTCACATCCTAAAACTGATATATGGCTTGATAACAAACTGGATTAAGATTATATACACACATACACAATCTCATCTGCCATGTTGAACATGTGTTCACATGTGATACCCAGTAAATTCAGATGTATTCTGTATTCTTTCGTTCATCAAATTGCAGTGAAAGCAATTCTCACAATATGATTCACACTTGCTGGTGTTTTATTTGTGGTGTTGAATCAGCCACCCACTTGAGTTGATCTTTAAAATCTATCTATAGGTATTTGCTCTTGGTGTGGATGTTATTCCTACGCTGTCTGGAGGTAGCTCTCACCTTTCTGCCCACATAGACTGGGATGCCAATGATCATTGCAGGGATGGCGATGCCGGCAATAAGGGCGATACCCACAGGAGCTCCGACCAGTGTGCCGAGCTGCCACAGAATCTTCTTCTTTCTGCTCCAGGGCTTCTTTCCCCAGAAGGTGCAGCCTGACGGACTGAGAGGATGGAGAGAGAGAGAAAGAGAGGAGAAGATTTGTCAGGGGAAAACTGAGAAACAGAAATGCATGCATGTGTGAGAGAGTATATTATACACTGTAACTTATTGTTAAAATTGTAAAAGGTATAAAAAGGCAGTTTTCATCAGCTTTATGTTTGTCCCACCTTAAATAGTGCAGGTCAGAGATCTCCTTCATGCAGAGCCAGCAAAACTCACAACCGCATACAGCACAGGTCATGTGATTACAGCTCCCATCATTCATCTTGATGATGTAGGCGGCACACCGAGGACATGGTTTGATGTCGTCACCTAGAGGATGAGAAGAGTTTTATAGGCAGCATCTTTGGTGATATTTACAGTGCATAGTGTGTACTGTGAAACCTTTCATGCATCACTAAGAGTGATAAGTGTGATCGGTGAGCTGAGGGTACAGTATAATATAGGTATTATTTTTTATGTGTCTAAATTCCTAACTGGCCATGTTAGTCCATGTCTATTTGCTTTAAGGGCCTTTCTTTCTAAACTACCTGCAGCTCCGCTCTCTTGGCTGTAGCTGAGGGACGAGGACCTGAAACTCCTCAGCCGGAGGTGCTGGGCCCGCTGTTGCCGTGCTGTATCACACGTCTGGTTGGGATGCCACAGCTGTTTGCAGTGGTAGCAGAACTCCGTCCCGCAGCCCTCGCGTCCACAGGTGATCTTTGGGCAGCTGGCGCAGCCAAACGCAATGACTGCATAGCTGAGAGAGGAACAATACAGACAATGAGGTTTTAAATAGTTGCTGCTAGGAGTGCATGGGTGTAGTAGTTCAGCACAACACTAGGGGTCAGCAGGGGTAAAATGACAAGTACAGGAACAGTTCAGGAGGATTAAACTGGGTGGGTAAAATATCTCAAATAAATAAAAGATTACACAGTTGCTGACAGTTTGTCAGGAATGTGTTTGTCACATAAACACAGGAAATTAGCTGCTACACACTTTCCATGATGAGCTCTGTTACAGTTAATCAATACGGGCACAGTCACTTCTGCATGACGGCATGTAACCATGGTGTCGCTCATCAATCATTACAACCGCCAATTGAAAAGCTGTTATTGAAAACCACACAGCAGGAGAGAGTGGAGGGTATTTCCAATAACTGATTTATTATTGTAAGCATACAAACTGTAACACAGCTTGACAAACAGGTACCACAAAAATCCATTGTTGTAGCAGTCATTCATATCCTCACACTATTATTGCTTCACATAAAGTGCGTCATTACTTTTTGAACTATAAAATGAACGGCAGTAACTTTTTCCTCCCGCTTGCTGACTCATAAAGCGACTTGTGTCTCACTGGTTTGGATAAAATGAGACATTAACAGTTATGTTGTTCAAACAAACACCATAGATACTGTGGGAAGGACTGAGGAGCACCTGCTCTATTAATATAATGTGTATGTGCAAACCTCAGCTAAACCCTGATGCTGTTGTGGCCATTCAGGCTCCCACGGCAGAGTCATCATGGGAAAATTAGAACCGGGCAATAAGGAAAAACAAACACTGACGGACGGATCAAGTGGACAATTTGTTACGGTTCTATAGTGAGACGGAGGCCCAGTGTGTGTATGAAGCCCTCATCTGATCCACTCAGATACTGTGTGCTCCACCACAAAATCTACAGCTATGAATTAAATTGACTTATCCTCACTTCTACAGCTACACAGAGCTGCTTATTCAAGTCACCACGACGTCCCCGGAAATGATTTAGGACAAATAGAAATGATTGCATCAGCTGACACACACACACACACACACACACACACACANACACACACACACACACACACACACACACACACACACACACACACACACACACACACACGAGGGTTCATCAACCCATGTACAAATACACAACAGGGTAAAGATCATGCATAGAATGAGATAAGTATTTAATCAAACAGACATGCTCAGGTGATACTAGACAAGCAACAGTGAGACAGAACAGGTAGTGTGTGTCAGCAGTGACTCAGAAAAGATATTAGAAAACATGACCCATCATCATGACTTGGACCATGCATCACGTAATATTTCATATTATCTATAAAATCTCAATTATACTTTTTTCAAGGAGTGAGAAGTCAAGTGCTGAATTTTTACTCAGTTCTTCGTGCTATAAAATCCATAGGAATTGGTGATTTAAATTTGGGCAAGGGGATTTGGTGCATGTGAAGCAAAATATATGTTTTTATTTCATTTGAACAGGTTCCAACCACAAGGTATCTTCCTTCCTCTGGAACAAAATAATAAAACAAAAGTAAGATCGGGGTAAATAAAATGCTCTGATAGAAATAAAAACATTATTCATCATATTGTTGGTTTTCATGGTTTCTTGTATCAGTGATGGTAGTTTAGATCAGTTTACTCAACATAATCTCTTCTTATCTTGTCTTATTTATTTCTATTTATTAATATTAAATCATAATTCCACAGTGCCCACCCTGATAAATTACATACGACAGTCCAGTAGTGGGGATGTTGTGTGTGTTGTAGCTCAAAACATTCAGTCCAGACAGTCTGCAGTAACACCTTGGTGAAGCAAACTGATGGCAAATGTTTTGACAGTTGTAACTGGACTGGAGAGCTTCCAAGTGAACCTTTTGGTGTAAAAACTATCTGGTGTTTTCCCACATATATTCCAGTGTAACAACTACATTTCTGCCAACCCCCAAAACATAACAACTTCATACAGTGTGACACCACTGCAAAGTCAAGACTCGACTGTGCATAAATATGATTTCTTTCTTCATGCAGAGGATTCTTGGGAGTTAATATCCGCACAGCTGAACAACAAAGCCCAATAAGTCGCGAGTGCAATTACACAAGAATCATCAGCGAGAGCATTAAGCAGTGGAGAGTGTGGCCGGGAGCCAAAGCTGAACTGTTTGGAGGAATAGAGCAAGAAGAGCTGGAACCAGCTTATGAAAGAGCCATTCTTCTAACAGACAGGGTCAGCAGTGTTGATGAGACAAAGCCATGAGAGGGAGTGAAGGGTAAAACCATTTCTGAATTCACCCATCATTTACACAGGGAAAGTGGACGACTGAACCACAGCACTTGTGAATACATATGTAGTGTTAATTAAAGCAGTCCAAGCGCCTGTGGTAAAAAACACACAGACTGGTGCAAGTGTGGATGAGCAGCTCGAGTACACTGGGCAACATGAAGCAGAGTGACCTTCTGAGCAGAGAATGGGTTATGTCAGCCTCAGCTGAGGCCGCTCTGAGCAAACTTTGTGTCGCTACCAAACACACATGACCCTGAACTGACCCCCACCGTCACCTCCATGTGAAAGAGTCTTAGTTAGAAATAAATCATTTCTGACTTAAAGTATCAAGTGAGTCAATTGTGTATTTTTTTATCAAGTGGCAAAGGGAATCTATGCAGAACCTCATTTTATCTATCTATCTGTCCATCCATCTATCTATCAACCATTCACACACACATTCACACCTTCAGATTATATAGAGTCTCTAATTAAACAAACCCCAATCTGTCTTCGGAATCTGGGAGTACCCGGAGAAATCTCAAATAGACACTGGGAGAACTCGCCACAGAATGACCCCGGCCGAGCCAAGATCAAAACAGGGAGTTTTCTTTGATGACAGCGCTAACGACTACACCCTCATGCAGCAGAACGTCATTTCACCTCAAGTCAATTATTTACACTGACAAATACTCACATCCAGTAGTTTTTATCCACTTTGGTAAATATGCTTATTTATGACATTTTATGTTTCACTATTCAAACTCCGTCTGAGCCCAGAATTACCGTTAGATATACTTGTGTATTTAAAATCCCTCTACATTCTATTAACAGTACAAAAATGGTATGACGACATCGCTTTGTCATTCACTTGCTGATCTGTTTTGGATGACTCACTCGGCTGACAGAATACGCAGCTCCCTCACTTCTATGAGTTATTTATAACTCACGCATCAATGCAAAAGCCAGGATGAGCTTCAAGAGAACAGATTACAGCCTTTGAGTTTCCTTGATGCTGCTGCTTACTGTTATTTTGGGACTCGTGTGTTGGTCATATCAGAACATCAAGTACATCTTGGGTAATTGGAAAACAGATTCTGAAGGATTTTGTGGAAATAATCTCACAGACCTGAAACCTTTGTGGCAAACTGGCTCAAATAGATTAAATAAATAGATGTACATTTTGTTGCTTGGTATAAATCATATTTGAAAGTACTTTTTTATGTAAAGAGCAGGTTGTTCAAATATTCTAGTCCCTGACTGGACTATATAATCCAATTTCTTACCCACAGTCTGGGGCAGGACACCAGCGGCAGTCAGGCTCAGCCACCAGCCACCTTCTCAGCATAAACTCCTCATACTTCTCCATGAGGGCTCTGTCTCCCAGGATCATGCGGATGTCGTGGGGGTTGTAGCGCTCTGAACACTCAGGGCAGCTGATGTTGACGCGAGACTCTGAGATCTCAATGCGCAGGTACTGTCGCAGGCAGTCCGCACACGAGCGGTGGGGACAGGTCATGATGTCCGGGAAGCGGTCACGTCCATGGCGCAGCAGGCACAGAGGGCACTCCAGGAGCTCTGATGTCGACCCGGACACTGATGAAGTTGACGCTACGCTTGGTGCAGAGTGGTCTGAGGTTTTATCTTGGAAAGTCTCTGACTGCACAATTTCAGTGCTGACAACACCGTCCACTCCAGCTGCAGTCTGCAGAGGCCTGGACTTGCGCTTGGGGTCGCGGTCCGGCCGCCGCCGCCGACCAAACAGCGTGTGTAGGGACAGACGGCGCTTCTTGGGTGTCTTTCTAATGGAAGGGAGGCTGACAGAGGAGGTGGCGGATTGAAGATCTCGCTCTGAGCCTGTGCTGCCATGATGTTGCTGGTGCAGGCTGCTCATCATTCCAGAAGGGGCTATGCTTGTGTTAGCACCAGAAATTACCACATCAGGAGAGGGGATGTGGGACAGCGGAGGGGAGAGAGGGATTGGGTTTGAAGGGACAAGGTGTTTGGGGAAGGGAGTGGGGCTGCTGTTAGCTAGGACATAGCGGCTTGAAGCTAGTATAGGAGGTTTTGAAGAACGTGGTATGGTCTGTCCCAGGTGTAAACCACAGTGATGAAGGGGCGAGGATATGGGACACCAACCTGAGAGGAACAGAAGAAAAACAGAAAATAAGATACCGAACCACAGCTGAATGCATTAAGTTTTAATGTGCTGCTAAAAAAACAGAAACATTTGGAAGTAAAATTCAAAACCTGTTCTTCAGGATGAAAAACAACTAATCTCCTGAGGATACAACAGTTAAGATATGAAATAATCTAATCAGCAAAGTCTTCGTCTTAGTTTGCTTTTGCAGACTGCAAACACTTTGTTCAGTCATGTCTTCCATGTACGCATATTGGCCTGCTTGCATACACAACTGCAGGCTTTCCCCAGAGTGTGCGTTAGTCAAGTGCTGGACAAAACAAGTCAAAATCTTCCACGATAGATCTCACATGTGGCCACAGCTGTGCGGCCGCACCTACACTCAAGTGCTCCCACATGGTCGTATTTTATGATGTGAACAACCTTCAGGATAACTCGTCATCTGCGAGGGCAGAGTTTCTGTAGTGCGGACATACATCCACACTAGACATACTACAGACTTTCAATTACTGACGAACAAATTCCCTGCTAAAAAAAAAATTGCGTTTCGGAAAGGGACACAACCCCGGATTTCTTGAGCTACAGCCAAGAATAATGTAGAAAGTGCAGCATATGTGAATTTAATCAGGTTCAGGATTAATAGTTAGTCTAATTAGCCAATAAGACCACTGAACAGAGGAAAGTGCATTTTCAAGGTTATAAAATCCAAACAGATGTTGAAAATAAATTGCATCATCCTTTTTACAACACAAAGATTCCAGTTGTAAAAAAAAAAGCTTGACGCATGAAAACTATAACTGACTTTACTTGTAATACCTGTCTGTTTTTTAGGCCGGTTCTAAACATTCATGTATGTTTAATATGTTCACTTTATCCGACTTCTCTCTCTGCTTATGCACCAAGGAAACCGAGAGGTGACCGACAGTAAATCTCAACAGGGGCAGCGATCCTGCAACGGCTCAGTCTCATAACCTAAAAACCTGTCTGACTGCCTGCGGTTTTTCTTTCCTCGTGAGGACAAGTAGACAGCAGTTAACTTTAATTACAGATACTTCTGTGTTAAGAGTTTTTTTTTTCTTGAAAGGACTTCACAGCCAGAGGCCTTTAGTCTGACGCCTGGTCTGTGAAGTGTGGACGTATTCATATTTAAGAGTGTAATAAACAACTCAGACAAAGCTGAGGGACCAAAATGCCACTTCAATCCTTTTATCTAGCTGAGTGTTAATTTGTTTTTTTCTGTCGAGCCATGATCTTATCACAAGTGGTCACTTGATGTGCACTCGAGAGTCCATCTGATGCTGGTTGTAAAATGTGATCATCTAAACTGCCTCTTGACACAATTGAGAAGCTCTAAATATGGCCGCCAGTGTAAAAGGAAGATATCTATTTGTCCTATCATGTAACACAGATGTAGATATGAGATGAAAGTATGTTAACCCTTTGTATACTGGTTTTTGCATCAACTATTCCAGGAAATAAAAGCTGAAATTCTAAACTTGTATTCACATTCATCTTTTGATCTTACACCCAAATGTGTTCCGTGTACAACAAAAACTAAAAAGTTGGCCTCGTCGTTCCAAGAGCCTTGGAGGAATGTGCATAGTTAACTGTGTTCTAAAGATAAACTTGAAGAAAAAAGCCTGTCAACCATAATTGCATCTCATCGAGCCATTAGCGTCAAAGCCAAGTTGTAAAGAATAATGTTTTAAATGGCTCTGAAAGTTTCAAAGTCACATTTGAAAACCGAAGTCAGCACATCTGAAATTTCAGCGATGGAGGAACCACGAGGTGATACATCAGACAGTGAGTGCATCTGCTTCCAATAAAACTCCAAATAAAAAAAGCTATCTTCATACAAATACTTGGGTGCGGTTGGCCATCTGTCGTCCACAAAGTATCTGAGGTCATTTGGAGCGAGTAGGAAAATTCTTTTGTTTTGTTTTGTTACTTTTGTCATTTTGAGCGTCTTACAGTACTGTAATACTATGTGGTACAAAGTAGTTTGACTTTGAAAGCCAAATGAAAACCTGGGCAAAGATTTTTGGAAAACCCCTTGAGAAACGCTATGACTCAGGATACCACATTAACATTTTAAGGCTGTTGAATAATCATGTTTTGAACAGAGAATATGAATTGTTACCATTAAACCGAAGAGACAGGATTCCACAATTTAACAGTGTCAGACTGAAACACTCTTTCGTGCACAAGTCGATCCGAAAAGTACCTAGAGGGCCACTTTGAAAAGTGCACGCCTCTGCCAAGGCTTATGCCCTATCATACCATGTTAAAGTGAAGAAATTACTGGATCCACCACCTTAATTGAATCCACTTCATAAATGTATGTATCCTTAGTAGGTTTTGTCTAAATTCTTGTATTTTATGTTGTAAAAAGCTGCTGCTGTGATACAAGACAAACTTAAGATGTGCCAGACAATTAAGTATTATCATTCACTCAATTATTTCACTCGAGTTGTAGGGCTCTGAGCCAAGCTCCCTGGGGCAATATCGTCACATATCGGAGTTTCCCTGAGGAGAAGGAATTTTTTTGAAATATCAGTTCTTCTATCAAAGTTTATATTAAAGAAACCAAAGTCTAAATCAAGTTCATGGGAGATTCTACTCCTTAACAAAAGAAAGTCCCTGCTCGGGAGGCCAGACTTTCTTAAGGCTCATGAACTTCCTGATTTTGGCTTGCGGCACTGAATGTCAACTGACTGATAATGTTTTCTCTCTGTTATATGTCTGCAAACATTTTGTTTTGCTTTTAGTTTGTGCCCGTCAATGATCAAAATGAATCAGCCTGAGTTTTTTGATCCAATGGACCAGAAGTTCAGGCTTTGTTGTCCATATCTGCATTGCACAAAAAAGATTGTGCTTTTAATACGTCAGCTAAATAAGTTGCTTTAATATTCACACGACTTCAGCCCCGCTGTGGAAACACAAATCACCATGTGCTGGAGGAACTTTCACCCAAGGGAAATGAAGAGGTCATCGTTTCTCAGGACATTAAATGTTCTTGGACCTTTTGCTGGGAAACCACCTTCTGATGCCACTGGACACATTGTGTCTCACGGTGTAGACGAGACCCCTGTCAACCTTCATGAAATAAGATCTTCAGATGATCAGGTAACATCTTTAATCTTTAAATACCATCAGAATGATCTCAACAGTCAACAGATGAGTATGCTGGCTCTGAGCTGTATCATGACCAAGAAAACCAGAGGATGTTTGGTTTGGTTAGGCATGAAGGTAACTTTGCAGTGTGATGTCCTCACACTATAATTTAACATCATAACAAAGCTCATCATAAAAGTTCAAACCACCAAATCATGTGCATGAGAGGAAACTTTAACAAGACTGAGGAGCAATTTCAAGCAACCCACAAGTCGATGTGAAATTACACTCCCCAGGAGTAATTAAACTGGAAAAGCCTCAGCTCTGTACTGACTACGAATGAGTGAGTGGGACTTTCCATGTGACTGTGGTCAGTGTGTCATTGTGTCTTTGTGTGTGTATGCCCATGCATGTATTCAAGTTCTAGGGCTCAGGGGCAATCACATGCAACCATGGCTCACACACTGGGATGTTGTCCCAGTTCCTGAGACAACCCCAGGGCACGGAGCTTACCGCAGCAGAATAAATGGTTTCAACCTTCCGTCAGCTCTACAAAGAGTTTGCGTCGGTTGATGCTATTATCATGATTACCGGTGTAATGTGCTTTAAACTGGCGGTTTTCTTCTGGAGAGACAGGTCAATGCAAGGTCAGCATGTTATGGTTTTTAAGAAGTCACATTATAATCTGTGTGTCAAGATGGATGAGTGAAAAAATAGCAACAAAATGTGTCACCTGAGTCTTCAGTGGTAATGGTTTTAACAAGTATAGCCCTGCAGACCACAGAGCAATAACATGTTGGCTCCTGCACTGCAAAAAACTAAATAAATCCAGGTTTCCACTGCCTGTAATTTCACAAAGAGACAATAAGGTGTATAACCAAAATGCAAGGGAACAATTTGTGCTGCAGGTCTATGACTGCATGCTGGTGTGTCTAACCCAGTTTCACAAGCAGCATTTGAACATTTTTAGGACTATTAATAAGCCATAAACAGAACATGCCTGCCTCCAAAAGAAACATCCTTTCCCGAATATTCACACTAAGAATGTTGCACGCAGTGCTTATTATTTCCAAAGTAAACAGGAGAGCTGAAGCTTAAACAAAACAAGCCAGCAGTGAAGACATAGCAGCATGCATTAAAAAATATATAACCTTATGCTGACCTGAAACCCATTATTACCTGTCCAAGACTGGTATTCTTAATCCAAAGTTGATATTTAAGAATGACTAGAATCTGAAATGTTAATAGAACCTACACAACATTATGCTTAGACTTTTGTTAATAAAGAACTGTGACAAATACTCAGCAGGATATTTGACAGTTGATAAATAAACATGTCAGTGCTGTCTGGTGGGAAGTCTATAAAGAAAAAACTGCTCTGCTGTTTCTCAATGCCTCAGTCTAAATATAAGTGAAGGTGGGATTCTATATACAAACTCCTACTTTCAAAGCAATCACTCGTTCAATGAGCGGGTTCCACGACTTCAAACCAGTAAAAGTATTCTTCGGCAAAGTGTTCATCACGTACACTAATTTCCGCTGACATTCCAGCTGGAGGACAGACTTCCTGATCATGACAATGCATCCATTTATTACAACTATGTACAGAGGAACAGCCCAGAGACTGGACAACAAACGCTTTTGACATTATTTTGTTTATCTAGCTGTAATATCTAAGTGTTTTAAACCGTTACAATATTTGAAAGCATCGTTCCTCTGAGCAAATTCATAAAGCAATAAAAAGTTATCGTTAGACTGGCCTGCACTCATCAGGCCAACTTTCTATCAGCGGGACATCGAAACAACCAAGTAGCTTAATGAATCTCTGTTTAGTCCTTCAACTGTCAGCCACGATATAATAATAATGTGTGATGTTGGACATAGTGGGGACAGGAGACAGTGGAGTGCATACCTCTAAGGCTGCTTTTAGCACTATTTAGTAAACAGTCAGATTAAGAGCCAGCAGGGGATGGTACTTTTCCACTGTATCTGATGAGGCAACAGTTTTATTCAAATGTCACTGTTACTAATGGTGAGGATGCAAATTAAATATTTATGGCACTAAAAAATTGATTATCATGTCAAAAAGCAAATCGAACAGGAAGTTATTATTTTACATTTTCTCTATTAAATGTCAAATACCGAAATAAAACCTTCTGATTTATGTTTGTATGAGGAAATGCCATTTGCATGTTAAGCTATTTTCAGACATGAATTCTGGAAAATGTCCGCTAAATTGGGTCCAGAGTTTGTCTTTTACATATGAAGAACACGGAACAGGAGCATGCAGGGGGCAGGACATATATATCACCCAGTGGAAAATTCATCATGTGACATCCCTGTGGTCTACGCTCAATACAGACTTAGGTTAACTGTCCTTGTCTGAACCAGAATAGTCAAGCCATTTAGAATAATGCCTGCCTGCAGAAAACCACCAAAAGCTAGATTCAATTAATTTTCATATAAGACAGAAGAGTAGTGGGTGAATCCACTCCATCCAGCGCTGTGCAAAGATAACGATAAATCTATTACGTCACAATAATCAGCCCTCATCGACCTGACCCCACGCAGATCAACACACACCATGACGCTCTCTACTGCAACAGGCTTTTCACCCCAAACAGCAGGGGAGTAGGAAGCTGATGGGTGGTGTGATGGCAGTGACAGCCCTGCTCCATTCTGTCCTACAATGAAGGAGGAAAGAGACACCAACAGCTACTCACAATTCACCAGTAGTGCTCGTCTCACGGTTTAATCAAAGCCACTGATTTGAAAGTGTTTGAATTAATTCAACCAGAAAATTTGAATTTGAAGAGATGTGTGGGAAACGAAAAGAGCTTTTTGATCTTATTAGTCATCTCGTTTCATGTTGAAATCAGAAAATCTTTAGTTGCCTCTGAGGCTGGGCAGCTGTTCAAGGTTTACAAAAATTTCAAGATAACCACAAACTTCTTCTAATTGGTCCCACATAACAAAACCGCACATATTTTACAGACCAATCGTAACTAAAGAATTCAAAAGCAAAGTTGAAATGTCCGCTATGTGTTCCTGGTGCACAAATGTTTGCTAGCTCATGCAAACATTCAAAGTCTAGATCAGGACCCGGGCTTGCAGATTATTGCAAAAAAGCAAATGTTTGCTTCAGTTCACAGCCCATTGGTCTTGTGTGTCTATGTCACACTGATTGTAGAGGAGCGTTGGGCACTGGATCATACAAAAACAGCTTAACATAAAACATTTTGACTCTAAAGAGTAATTGGAACTGTTCTGTACAGGTGGATAATGGCCCCTGCATAACTGGTCGCCAAATTTAGGTCAGTTAACCTTTAACTAGTTCAGGCTGAGGGTGGGCAGCCAGTGATGGTTTTATAAACCATTTTTTTGGTATATTCAAATGCTTAAATATGAATTTAAAATACAAAGAAATATAATTCTGGGCTTATATTCTAGCATATAAAGCAATATAAGGTGCTTAAAGTCATCTTATATGTTAATATTAGCAAGTAAATTTAAGCAGAAAATTTCTGCAGCGAAAATGAAAAACATGGTGAGACACATCAGTTCGATCGAATATAAAGGTTTCACCAAACTTCTAAGCATGGAATTTCATTTTAGTTGCATTCGCTGAGTGGGAGGCTGAGATTGGTTAAGTTAAACAGTAACACGTTGTCAGGAGGAAACAAAGCATCGTGACTCATTGACAGAAAGCTCAGGTGAGGAAGGCTTGGACAAATTTAGCATGCAAGCTGTAAAAGTCACACAGCAAATACAGGCGGACTGTGCCCAGCAGTTGATAGGATATCTATTCAGGAAAAAACAATGTTGACTGTGCCATGAAAGTGACAACAGAAAAACATTGTCTGTGATGATCTCAATTTACTGAAGCATGCTTGAGTTTAACAACGGCACAATCACAGTCATGACAGAAATTTAATAAAATATTTTTTTTTACATGAAGCTCATCCCCATTAAGAATGAAAACCAGTATTAATTGATTATTAGTGTATAAATAACATATTAAACATTAATAAAGAGAGATGCTTTCATAGTTCTGACTTTGTACAACATCACCAACATTCACAGTATATTAAATAAAACAGACTTTGCTTTTAAGTTACACTAATCAGTACAAAAAAGAGAATGAAATGGACATAAATAGATGACAAACATTCATAAACATTTAATAAGTGTCCTTTAACAAACTAGTCATGAATTTGTAAAGCAGCTATAAAAACGTTTGGTCTTTCGCAATGTACAATATTTCTAAACCATTACATGATTATACTATAACCACACATGATTATTGACAAATGCATTAAAACATGGGGGACTCATAATGAAAGTAAGAATAATAAGAGCTGAGTTGCACGATCCTGTTCCAGAAAATTATAATAAATAAATACATAAGAAGGTTTGCATGTCTTACGTATAATGAATTTGATCCTTAAACCGTGAGTGTAATAAAACTGAAGACATGACGGTATAGAGGATAAATTCTATCTCAGCAAGTAAAACAACAGAAGAACCCATCGAGCTTTAAACGCATCTTGTTTTAGGAGTAATCACACTAATAACACAACGAAGGAGAAGATCGTTGAGCAGAGACGTCATCTGATGCTCGACACAGTCTCGCACACATTTTGTTTACACTTTCCACCTGGCTAAACAGCTAGCCTGCTAAGCTAACCAGATTTGGCTAGCAGGGAGCTAAGAGAGCAACTTGAACTGCCCAGAGAGTTTCTCACCGGCTGAGCTGCGGGCTTTTTACTCGCTCATCACATTATTACATCGACACTCAAACATGATCCGAGTCTACATCAGCGGACACTTCACGCGGAGGGTAAAAGCTGCGGGATTCCTGCCGCCCCTGTAGTTTCAACGATGGGACTTTACAAGCTAACGAAGCTAAACGCTGCTAGCCTCTCGTCAAGCCCCGCAGAGGAGGAAGTTCTCGTTTGTTGCGATCTCGTCACCGAACGATGGCGACTTCTGGGTTTAAATGTCTTGTTTTTGAACAAACACTCACGTTCAGCTTCCACCGGGCTTTACTGTCCTCCCCTACAGAGGAAGCTCCGCTGCCTCCATGTCTCCTGGAGCCGTGAGAAGAATGTGTCACAGGAAACTTCGCAGGACGAACTGGCTACATTCCCCGAGTGTTGTTACCGAGGCTGAGAACCGTGGAGGCACACATGGCGGTTCCGGCTGGATTTTCATAATAAGACGCACATGCGTCCGGGTTTCAGTAGACATCAGTGGGAAAAGCAGCATTTACTTTGCAATAAAACTGTAAAGGTTAGGTAAGTTTGGATCTTAATACTTTTTACTTTTAAGTAAAAGTAAACCAAATGAATTCATTTTACAG